TCCCCCCCCCCCCCAAATAGTCAAAGGTCTATACAGTAACAAAGTACAAAATGAGAACACCACCAAATAGGAAAATCTAGTCAATATGCTCGTGCTTCCACCTTGAGGCTTGCTCTTCTGCTAAAATTTGATTATTTTTCAAGAAATCCATAATTTTCTGGTTTTTTTTCCCCCTTAAAATACCCAGATTACATTTTTTCCTTCACATTTTGTCCACATATAGTTTATTTAGAAATTGCTACGCTCCTCCCATTTGGATGCCAAATGAAATCCAGAGCCCCAAGGAAGAACACCACTGAAGGCTGGGGAAATACATACAAGCAGGTAGATTTGCAAATTACTATGCTGTGTGCACCTCACTGCCTTCACATAATTGCTCCTCTGCCATCCAATTCAGTTGAGTTTTCAACTTTCTCTGTGATATACCCTTCCCCCCTCTTCACATTGCCATATGCCACTTAAAAAAATTACTTTGCTGCCTGCCAAAAACCATACAGCCTGCTTCCCAGTGCCAGAATCCTACTTCGTTGAAAATAGGAAAAGCTGGGATCTGCCCGGTAATACCAAAATAATCAAATCAAGTATAAAAACTTGGAATTCAAATGAACTGTCCAGGCTACTTTCACAAGCCATTTTTCTTCCAGAAAGCAGCCAAGTTGGGAGTCAAGCGCAGCCATGCCCTGCCCGCCGTGGTGAAGGCTATCAATTCTGAACTTAATCAAATCTGATCTTCCCACAGCCAGACTAGGGCTTTTTGTCTTGGCTTGTGAAAGCTTTGTGACTTCTGGAGTAAAATGTATTTACAGCGCTTAGAAACAGCCTCTATTTCCTTTCTAAAAGGTCTTGTACACTTTTTGTTTTCCTTGCCAAACGTGCCATAATCTCCTTCTGATACATTCCTCAAAGGCTTGCAATGGAAACAAGAGTTCACTGCTGGGAATATTTCCAATGTACAGTGATCTGTATCCCACAGATCCTAACTAGTTGCACATTATTTAGTTCACATCCATTATAGTTTATAAATTAACAGAGATGTCATTTTCTGTACAAAAAAAAAAATCAATGCATATTTATTTTTTTTATTCAAATAGATTTTACATACATATAATCTAGAGACACAATACAAAAATCTGTATAAGTTAGGCAATGCATCACAGGAGTGACCAAAAACTCAACACATTTACCTTGGCAAAATGACAGAACCTATTTCTGCTGACTGAAAAAATATTAGCCTTTAATGCGTTTATTAATTTCACTAAACATACTTGAAATGTTTTTCCTTAGCGGTATTCATTATTCCTTTTTGTGTTTCATAGTTACTCTTATTTATTTTTTCCATTTTGTTTTTACACCAAGGAGACTGCAGTCAAATAACACTCAGCAACTCATTTCCTCTCTTTGGACTGAAAAATTAAACAGATACTAAATTATGACAGTGAATTTAGAAAGGAGGGCTCCAAGGGCTTGAAAGAACATGTCTGAGATAATATGATGCTTCTAAGAATATTGCAATCACATCCAAGCAATCACCGAAGCGTGCCATGTAACTACCTCCTCAGCTAATATGCTTTTTTCTCCGTGATGACTAATCATGTTCTATTAAACAGCGGTAATGCTGGAAGAACTCAACTATACAAGTGTAATGAAGCCAGTATTCTCCCCGGACAGATTAGCTACAACTGATTTGACACATACCATCATAGGAGCTTCAAACCTGACAAACTCTGTGCTTGCTTCTGATTTATGCCGTCAAGCTCTTCAGAGAAGAGAATGAAATCCAGGCGTCGCGTTTGGTAGAGGTGAAATGTACTGATGTGCTTAACTGTCAGTTACGGAAAGTCACCATCTCTCCTTCCTTCTCCTCTCACTTGCCTCTCCCTCCGCCCCTTCCCTCCACGCTCGGGGAGCCTGCGTCCCCCCCCGAGGACGACTGCTCTCCCATGGTCCTGGTGCCACGCGCGGTGTGTCCTGCTCAACCCACGTGCTCTTGCCTGCTTGTTTCCATCATTTGAGAGCTGTTACTGAAACAACTGCTTCCTCTGCAGCCCCTTTTGCTCTGTCTCATCCCCTCGCGCTCTCCAGATGCGCCATTTCCAGATGGGACAGGGATGTACCGAAGGGAAAAGGGAAAAGGAGAGTTACCAGACTCACAGAGCAGAGCTGTGATGGGGATGGAGGAATATGAGGCTGCGGATGTAATTCAGGTCAGCGAATACACGGGTGAGCTCCTCAGATGATGGTGGGCATTCTTCCACTGCTGTTGTTCCGGTTATTGTTCTTCCTGGACAAGTTTGGAGTGGCCATGAGGACGAAGCGCTCGTCGGGGCAGCCGTACTGGAGGAGAACATCAATGCACTCCTGGCTGGAGGCCTGCCGGGCGTAGGCCAAGGCCGTGTTTCCGTGGGCATCGCGCGCCATCACATCAACGCCGTACTATGGAAAGGAGAGATGTGTCATTGGGAGCCACGGTGCCAACAGAGTTTTGAAATGGAGGGAGCAGATTCGGGACAGATAGGGTAGAATTTAAGTGAGGATGGGGAGAGGCAGGAGAGGGAGAAGAGGGACCGGGCAGGATACCAGCCTGACAATGTGAGCACAGCAGCACTAAGTCACATATGTAAAGGTTTCTACAGGGAGAGAGTCTCATGTGCAGAGCAAAATTTGCTGCAGTGGTGTTGCTAACAGGTGCTAGGGGAATCTCTCGTTCTTCATTTCCTATGCTCTCCTTTACTTTCCATCAAGATGCAGGCAGAAGCATAGTTTTTTAGCATGGTGCTGTCTTTTGAGAGCATGCAGGGAGGAACATCCAGATTCACTCACTGTGAAACCCTCAAATAGCAGGTCTGGGAAGTCCTGCTGAGGGACACAGCCAAGCAAAAGCCAACCCAGCAAGCCCCCTCCCCTGGACACCAAGTACTTACCCAAATCAAGAGCTGCACCAACACCACATTTCCTTTCCTGCACGCCAAGTGGAGGGCAGTGCGCCCATCACCGTCTCCACAGGTCTCATTCACCTCTTCCCGAGTCCCGTGGGCCAGGAGCAGGATGACCGTCCGCAAATCCTCCTCAGCTGTAGCCCTCAGGAGATGCTGGCCCAGAGAAAGCTCCAGGCACTGCAGCGGGGCAAGGAAGAGCTTCTGCTCATATTTTGCACGTATCCAGCGCTCTTTTTCTTCCCTAGAGAAGCCAAAAGAGACAGGTCATTCTAACCTGGCTTTGCTGCCTCTAAAAGGTGGCATTTCAGCTACCAGTATGCTAGCAAACAGCAGTTAACCAACAAAAAACCCTATTCCCCCTTCAAATTTTTGGCAAGAAAACCCTCCTAGAAATAGTTCATCCAAATCTTGTATTTCTGCAGCAACATTTGTGTCACCCATCTCATCATGACTGAGACATGTTATTGCAGTGCCCAGGATCCTCCTCAGTGGGTGCCATTGCCTACGGGGTTGTAAGATCACAGCAGCCAGAAGGTCTTAAAAAACCCTGGGCTGCCCTGAGGGCTGGCAAGGGGTCAGTGTCAGAGCCCTCACCATCACGAAGACCAAAGACAAAACAAGCAGCCCGGTTCCACGTTAAGGTTGTGCTGCAAAATACGTTACAAAAAACGCACCAAATTTCTGTATCTAAGACCAGAAGTAACCAAGCACCTGGGCTTGCATTTCAGACAGGAAAGCAAGCCCTGAAAGTCATAGCCTTGCTTGCAGGGGTGCTTTTTCCTTCTACAAACTGAGTAATGTTTCCAATGCAAAAGGCCTACGGACAGTTCCTCTGTTTGTTTTTCCAAAATGCAAACCACCAAAACAATACTTTGAAGCACCATTTCCTGCTGATATGTCAAAGAAATATCAAAAGCATTCTGGATGCTATCAAGTTACAGGAGAACAAGGATTACAAACAAGTCCCTCAACTCTCCATTAAAAAAATTACCATACAATTATATGATCTAAGAGATCTGGCCCTAGACAAAGTCCCATTTAGAGGTACCTCAAGTCATCTGTTCAGCCTGTGAAAACTATATATATCACCTAAGTCAGGCAACTTGTTACTGGTGACAGATTTTCTCCTCTGGAGTACAAAAGGCAAAGCTCTGTTTATGCCTTTCAGCCGTGTTTACACTACTCCCAGTAATCTAGTGTCAGGTTAGCCCTAATCTGTTTTTAAATACTTAGGTAAACAGATCCTTCCAACAGCAAATCTGGATTAGCTTTGCATCATTTCCTGGTACATGTGGAGTGACCTTGCTTTGACCTCCCTAGATGCTTTCAGGTACAGCTTCCCAAAGCATCTGCTTCTCTACCCCACCACAATTTACCTTACAAACAGGTTCAGAGCTTTTTTTCAGAGAAAAAGTGCAAACAGAAAATTAACACAAAGAGTGCTTCGTTTAAATCAAACCTTTGAATGACTCCTGCAAGCTAAAAGACACACCAAAAAAACCCCAAACATTTGAGGAGCTGCAAATTAACCTTTGATGGCACGATCTGATAAAGAGAGTATCATTTCAGGTATTCCAGATGGAGAGGAGGAAGTAAAGGACTTTTGTTACTATTGCATCCTTAACTCATGTTCTTTGTGGTTGTACTTTTTTAAGGTAAAAAAACCAAAACCACCGTAATGAGGAGAATAAAGTAACATACATGCCATTATTTACAATAATATGGGCATTCTTGCAACACCGAAACACTTGGCTCAGTAACCATCTAATGTATCTTCAAGAATGTTTAGTAAAGCTCACATATGTTTATATATATCTCTATATATATCAATATGTATAGGGTCTGCAAATGAATCCCACCTCTCTCCCAGACCATCTTTTGAGTGATGGTAACTTTTGGCTCCTGTCAGAGCACTGGTTGCTGTGATCACCATGGCTTGAAGAGAAATCCCTTTCTGTTTAGAAAACAAGCTGTTTTACACAAGTCTCACACTTCTAATCACAATTCACCTTAAACCGTAATAGTGATGCTATGATATGTACTGAAATAGAGACAATAAATGCTGAGTTCAGGCGGAGGATTTCAGAGCACAGGAGCAGTGCAAAGGCCATCCTGCTGCTCTTGGAAGGCTGCAGAAGAGTAGGATAGACACCAACAATCCAATCCTGCTCAGGTTTATCCTACTGTCTCAGAAGGCTTGGAAAAGAACAGAAAACCTCTTTAAAAATAAATCTAACAGGATGGGGAACAGGCTGCATTCTGCACTAGTGACGGAGAGGATGCGAATGGTCCTTCCTTAAGGCACTCTCCTGCAGAATGATCAGGTAACCCTTAACAGCTCTGCATTAGTGCTGACTGTATGCTCCCATCAGGATTCATCCCTCAACCAGAGGAAATGTGATGCAGGGCCGGGGAGCAGCCAGGGAGGCATCGGGTCCCTCAGGAGATGCTCACTGGCGTGGCTGGCCTGAGCAGGACCCTGCAGCCAGTAGCAGGCTGTGCCACTTGGCTACACTCACCTAAAAATTCAACCTTCTCACGTGGTTATTTTACTTCACTTCAGTTTCCCTTTTCAGAAAGCCTGACTAATTTTTCTTGACCACACAGGGCATCAGAAGACTCATTTCATTGAGGCCCAATTCTACCTTTGGAGTCACATTAAGGGTTGTTGTGAGAACACAGCAAACACTACAAAAAAACCCTAAAGGTGTTTTGAAAGCCTCTGACATTTGGGGGCAGCATGTCACTGACATCAGCTATCGAATGAGATTTAGATCTTATTCAACTGTACAAACTGGGCTCAAGAAAGGTATGTCATTCGGATTTTCTGGTAGAAAACAAAACACCCATGCCTCATGGACAGGGGAGTGTCAGGGTGGGGGAGTACTGCTTTTGAATGAGTATCTAGAAAACCAATGTCCACAGACATCCTCCCTACATCTCTGGCACAAACCATTGCTTTCTGAACAGGAAGTCTTGGGGGCTTCCCTGGAAGACAGCTTCAACTCTGCAGCTCGCATTCATCTCGGAAATCCTGACAACAAGACATAAATACTGTAATTGTTGCTCTGATGCCCCAATTTCACTTCTGGGATCCACAGCTTGTCTTGGTTGAGGTTTCATTTCCCCCAAGGAAGGCCAGTCCAAGAGCAGAGTTGTCAGCAGTAGATCACTTAACCTCACTGCAGTTCCCTCGAGGACCACTGTTCACATCCCCTGTTAGCTAATGAGCTAAAAAATGAATTATTGGAGCGGTCAGCAATAAGCAGGAAGAAGAGGCACAGTGTTTCATTTCAGCCAGCACTGACATACCTTTAAATAAATCAACTGAATAAGAGTACGAGGAAATGTGAGGAAGAGCAACTAATCAGGAGAAAGACACCGAACCAACCCCTAAAAATAAACGAAACATACATCGGCTAGTAAATATTTCCCTCATTTTCTTCCCTTTTCTGTAATCCTGGTAACTTCCACTCTAAACAACCGTCTCAACAGCAGAGGCTTTCAGCTGTAGTTGTCAAAGCCAAAACAAGACTCTTACTGAACTTTTAAAATCCAGCAGAGTTCTTTCCTCAGGACCAGATTAAAGCCAGTGTGGGAGAGGCAACATCCTCATGTGCTCAGATGGTCCCAATGATACCTAATGTTGGAGAATATGTGATCTGTCTCTTCCTCATATGTACTAAAATGACTTAATCTTTTCTTCAGCCATAACACTAGCTGCTATTTTTTCAATGCATATGCACGAAAGAATTAGTAGATTATAAACTCCTTGATAAATTTAGAGAAAGAAAAAATATAATTAGATGATCAGACTTTCTCTGAAGCTATGCATTCAAATCCAGACTCCTGATACAAACTTCAAACCTCACTGGTTATACAAGGGCCAAATACAACAAAGTAAGACTGAAAAATACTCTGCGGTACCAGGAGAAGAACGAGACACTAAGCTTTGGCCAAAAAATACCACCAAACTCTTCCATCACTAGTGAACTTTAAGTACACACAGTGGTGTGAATAATGACATCTCTGCCATGGCAGTGGTACTGTACATAGGTAAAGGGTTATTAGAAACAGATGAAAATTTCAGTTCTCAGTTTATTTTGATCTAATTAGGTGCTTGCTTCTCAAGATAATGTCCAATTATTTAAATTACTCTGCCAGCCACATCACATCATTATTATCTGGAAACATAAATACTGGGCACTGTAAGGGGGGAGGGCTAACTAGGTAGCATAAGAGAATATAAAAAACAGATTTGCTTAGAGCACAGCTTCGCTCCAGGAGCTACACTACATTCCCCACTTGTGGGTTTGTACCAGAGACGCTCATTTAGGAGCCCACATCCTACACAGCTCAGCCCCGCAGAGCGCATCATGTGGCTCTCCCACCTCAGTTAAATGTGTGTGGTTTTACATTCAACAAATGTGAGCAGGAGACTCGTACTGCTGGTATCAACTCTCCGTTCTACTCCTTGCTTCTGTTCACCTCTGCCTTCAACTTCACTTGTCCCTCTCATACTTGGTGGTGAGGCACGAAAGGCAAACACGAAAAGGATGTGCAGGGTGGAAATAAAAGCTGTGTTCATATGGCAACTCAGAACCAATTGTGTAGGCAACAGCATGCGGATGGAGAGCCTGAGAACTTGCCATCAAAATTCAACAGCTCCAGCGCAAGAGCAACCTTGTTCTTACCAAAGCAATAACAAAGATAACAAATATGTTTGTCACTTGCCCATTACCTAGAATTACTCACCGTTTGTTAAAGAGCTCAATGAAATTTTGAAAGGTTTCATTAAAAACGTAACAGACAGCAGGTATTTACCATGGCAGAGCATTGATTTCCCACCACCACAAACACTGAACAGCTTGGTGCAGGCATTCTGAAGTGAAGTTTTATCCTCTACACCTCTGACAACACTAAAAAGCTCTTGAAATTTTTTAATGTTTTCTTCTCTCTTGCTAAAGAAAATAATTCTGTAACTGAAGAGGCCTCTAAATGGTCTCTCTAGTTCACCATGCATGTGCCATGCCCATGTGTTGCCGTTTCTGGTTGCTCACTGAAGTACAACTGTTTAATGCAGTAGTAACCTGGCCAGCTCAGCAAGAGTCCTGCCAAATTTTCTCTCCTGTTGGCCAGATGACAAGGTTAATGTGTCTCTTCCAAGAAAATGAAGTAAATCTAACCCCTGTACCTCCCAAACTCCTGGAGAGGTCCAGAATGTGTCATTAGCTTTGTGGT